AGTAATTATTTTTATTTTTAAAAAACAGTGCTTGATACAAAGCAGTAGAGCATAATATTATAATTATTTTCTATTTTAAAAATATGGTTCCATCGCTACACATGAATTACCATGTTTCAAAAGAGAAACTAAAATTTTAAATTTAATTATAAAATTAAATTAAAAATCCATAGCTTTGCTGATTCTCAAGTGAGTTTTGGAATAACCTATTAACAAATTTATTTAATTTATAAACACAAAACAATCTTATTATTTTAAGTTGTTAAGGTTACGGAAAAATCCAATCATTTGATGGTTGGGTTTTAATTTCCTGAGACAACTTTTGTATCAAATATAAGTTGATTTTAAAATCCGGTTAAGTTAAGGTGGGGTAGTGGTGTCTGCTCACAAACAATGACATCCGTTTTCGCGTGTCGTCTGGGTTTTTCAATGATAAACAGGTTTTGGCTTCCTCAGATTAAGTCATTTGCAGTGAGGTGCAGTAATATGAATCTAGTTTCGTGGTTTAGGATGAAATTTATTTGGTTTTGAAAACTTTTGCATCATCTGTGATTGCATTAGATTTTTATCACGCCCAGATACTATTGTCTCGATTGTCGATTAGTTATCCTTAGCCATTGTCTGCGGAAGCGTACGAAAATTTATAACGCTGCACGAACAAACTGGCAAGCCTTACCAGTAAGCAAATCAAAATACTATAGACAGGTCCGGAAAGTCTCCTGATTTAAATCCAATCTGTGGTCAATCTGCAAGGAACGACTTTGTTGAATGGACATATGAAGTGCACTGAGTGATGTTTCATTGGAAAAATACGAAAAAAAAAAAATAATAACGGAATTATTTATTTTGTTTCAATTAATTTAAATAATTTGAATGAAGAAAAGCGAGCGAAAAATCAATTGGTGGAGAAATTAAGGAAATAATTTCCATACATAAAAGTGAACCAAGTGTTAGCAAAATGGATGCTGTATTTGGAATGGTGAAATCAACAATCTATATCTTACTAAAAAAACAAAAAAACAATACAAAACAAAAAACAAAAACAAGGATGAATTGAAAAGTATTCGAAACTAACCATATTTAGTAAAATCAAATAGACCGCACTCAAAGTCCGCCATATTTAACGAAATATCTTTTCCTTATCTTAAATAAATTATTTAAGATAAGGAAAGGATATCTTTCGTTAAATATGGCGGACTTTGAGTGCGGTTTAAAGAAAAAGAAATTACTTGTGATAGTATTTACGATAAGGTCAAAAATTTGTTTGATGAGCTGAGAGCTGATGTTCCTACCGGAAGTGTTACTACATTACCGGATTTTCATGCTTATTAAATATCTAATATAAAGTTCCTGATATTTGAAAATCTTGTAAGTTTTACGGCTAAAATGAAAAAAAAGGACCGATGTATTTTTATTTTAATCAAGACATTTTCTACCTGCAGGCCACGTTGCCGAGTGGTCGCGTTGGGGTAGATATTCCCACAAAATGCCTAATTGACAGATTCGTAACAGCATAATCTTCGTACTTTAAAAGAAGTTATTTTATAGATATACTGCAATACCGTTATTATATATAAACTAGTAGTACCACTGAAAATTTCACGGCTTTCCTGTTTGAATTTTGTTTTCTTTCTTTTTCTCACTGAAATCAAATAGCATCTTTCAACGTGATCAAAACGGAATAGTCGATTATTTATGAGGCATTGATAGGCGACGTTAAACCCTTCTATATTCACTTCTTTTTTTCTTTTTTTCATTTTCTCACTGAAACCAAGTAGCGTCTCTGATATATATTTTCCGTCTTTCCACGCGAATTAAACGGAATATGAGGTAGTAGCAGGAGACGTTAAACACTTCTTTCTTTATTTATTTCATTCTTTCTTACTTTCTTTCTTTTTATCACTGAAACCAAGTAGCATCTCCGATATATCATTTCCATTTTTTCACGCGGTCAAAACGGAATAGTCCATTATTTATGAGGTATTGACACGGCGTAACGTACGTACGTTCTAAGATCTCGGCGTATATCTTTTAGGAGGCTTGCTTAGAAGATTTGAAATTAGAGGTTTTGAAGCTTTCTGAAAGTGTTAAGTATGTTTGGAGGCTACAATATTACATAGAAGCGGTTCTTACCAACTTGGAGGCACCGAGAATTCTTGGAGGCTTCCAAGCTGCTTTGAAGTCGTTGAACCTACTTCGAGGCTTGCTTGAAGACTTTTAGCTTGTTTAGAGGCTTTTAGCTTGCCTGAAGTCTTTGCTCTTTTCTGGAAGCCTTGAAGATATTTGAAGGCTTTCACACTAATTAGGGGCTTTGAACTTGATTGAAGAATTTGAGATTGCTTGGAGAATTTAAAACTACTTAGAGTCTTTGATAATTCCTGGATACTTTGAATAATTTGAGACTTTGACATGACTTTGAACCTGTTCAGAAAACTTGAGCCTGCTTAGATACAGTGGAAGGAAATATAATACTAAATACAGCTGAATTTCTTGCATTATTTACATGTGTCCTTGACGACATCTGTGTATGAATTTTTGTTTCAGTAACCATTTTTTACTAGTGCTTATATTGCAATTTTTTTCTGTTGTTATTAGTGCATTTTTACCAGAGCTTATATTGCGATTTTTGTTGTCATTCATTGCTTTTCTTTAGCACTTTTTGGCCAGTGGATAAAGAGTTCTGAGTTCAATACTTGACCACAGCAGTAGTGAACCCAAACTTTGGAGAGTAAAGGGAAATAACTGAGACATACCAAAGAGGGATGTCACGTTAAACGAAAACAATCTACGCCGGTGGACGAAATAAAGGGTTCGGTTCGAAATTCCAATCACCTGAAGAAGGCCAGAGCGTACAAACGTCGAAACGTTGTGAATATGGCAATGAAGATGATAACAGTCTGAATAATGTAAAAATTGCATGTAGCCATAATACCACATCTCAGAGATATATCATAGACAGCTGAATTTTTTTTACACTAATGTTCACCATAATATAAGGCTCAAGTGCCACTTAAGGTAGATAATTATCGTATGATATTGCATGAGCGTAAGAAAAAGCAAGAAGTGTCAAGGCTCTATATTTGGTACTATATTTGCTTCCACTGCCTTTACTCAATGTTTGAAATACCCCGGTTAAGATCATGGTTTGGGATGCTGTTTTAAAATATAGTAGGTAGGTAGGTAATTCCTCACTTAAGGTTTGCTTTGGTTTAATTTGTCTAGCGACATATCAGCATCTATGGGTTATTTAATGCCAAAATCTAAATAATTGTACGCAATTTTTATTTTACTTCAGCTAAATACAGGGTGTCGATAAAGTTCGTGTGCACTTTAAAAAATTTATAACTTTATTTGTATTTGCGATAGAAATAATCTTTAAAAAATGTTATAAAGTTTAATGTACCTAATTTTAAGTATAGCTAAAATAACTAATGTGATTTCAGGCATTACTGTTGGCAAATGTTTTCCATGAACTGTAAAATCGTATTACCCTTTGTAATGGAGGACATGTGGAAACTTAAATAAAATTTCAATAAAACCTTAAAAAAATATAGATTAACTTCTTTCTAATCCTTTTTACAAATTATTTCTATCGCAAGTACAAATAAAGTTATAAATTTTTTTAAAGTGCACACGAACTTTATGGACACCCTGTATATACTGAACGCAATTTTATTCATTCAACAACAGATATTTTGTACATCCTTTTAAACTCTCAAGGTACACGTATGTTTTACAGATATAAACTTTGTAGATTATCTGTTGTCGGTGTTATATGTTTTAGTAAAAAACTGGTTCTTTAAGGTATGACATTATGTTGACGGTTTCAGTCTTTTCAAACAATTTTCTAATGTTGGCTTCCTTATAGTATTTGTGTCGTAGACATTCGAGTACATTCAGTTGAAATGAGTTTCACCGGTGCAGTCGAAAGCGCAATTTCCTCACTTAAATGATTGGCTCTACATATTTTCCTTACATTATTTACATTATTCGGACTATTGTCCTCATCTTTGTCGCCATATTTATTACAACGTTTCGGCCGCTGTACGCTCCGGCCTTCTTCAGGTGGTTGGAATGTCGAACTGAACCCTTTATTTCGCTCACTGGGGTAGACTGTTCTAGTTCCACGTGTCATGTTTTAATGGATGTCAGTTATCAGTTATCTCCTGTTAATTTCACTCTGAAAGATCTCCACTGCCTTAACCGGGTATTGAACTCACACTCTTTGGGTCCTGTCACTGGATCTAACTAACGTGCCATGTGTCCTCGAGGACATCTGAGTATGAATTTCTGGGTATTATAAACCTAATGTCTTCAGATATCATTTTTACCTGTGCTCATATTGCAATTTTTGCTGTTATCATTACATGTTTTTACCAGAGCTCATATTGCAATTTTTGTTGTTATTATCGCTTTTCTCTGGCACTCCTTATTACTGGTTCCCATATTGTATTCATTTCTATGCTTGGTCGGCTCAGGAGATTTTTGTGGCCTAGCATATGTACTGATTCCTTAAGTTTATGAATTTTCCAATGGTGTTCCCTGTCTATGATCTCAACCTGATCCCACAGAGGGCTGTGATCTCCCTTTTCTCTCCATATGTGGTCAGCCATGCCTGATTTTTCCACTTCCCCTCATGTTACAGCTTTCTGGTGTTCTTGAAGCCTTACCTTAAGAGTGCGGCCTGTCTCTCCTTTATATTTCTTTCTGCAGCTGCACGGGATGGCGTATACATAGTCTTTAGTCATGTTCGCCTCTATGGGGGGGGTCTTACTCGGAAGAGATATCTGCTAAGTGTCGTCAAGCTTTTGAAGCTTGTCCTGATGTTATATGGACTGCAGATACTTTGTATTTTCTCTGATAATAATGTACATAATACCTCATCTCAGAAATATAGACAGATAATTTCCTTACCAGAATTTTTTTTCCTTCTACCGTAATAAACTAGGCAGAGTGTATGTTAATAATTACGGTAAACAAGCCAAGCAGCAGAATTTAGA